TATATTTATTTACTGCCTGTTGGTCACACCACATGACTTGGACAGACAATTGTTTAGTTTTTTTTTCCAAAAAATTAATGTCGCAGTTTTGTAAAAACATTATTTTTTAAACAAAATCGTATGAATTAAATATTTATTTAAATATTCATCATGATTTCAGGGACAGTTGTATCAATCAATCATTGTTCAAATAAATTAAGAGACAAAAAAATGTCAGGTCATTGACCTACAGCCTGCTCTTTCACTGGGCAGCACTGACCTCTCCTTTCTTCACTGTCATAGACTGACGGCGGGGCGTGATCTCCTCATTAATGCTGGAGAGGAAGTTCTGGGAAATGCGGAGGGCGTCCTGCAGGAGAGGGTGATCTGGATGACTGGATGGGGTGTGCTTCAACAGGTCCTGAAACACACAGACTTATCTAATATCGCAAAACACTCAATTTATCGAACGTGTAAATCAATACAGCCTAAGCTCATCCAAATAAAACACGAGCACTGTTGCGCCACTAACCTGTAAACATTCTCACATGAGAAAAATAAATCATTAGGTGTATGTTCTTTCAATGTTACTCACATGGAGGACAAGAGTACTGCGAGTGACTCGATCTACTGGTTTATACAGCAGCGCTAAGAACGAGAAAGGCAAAAGAGTGATCAAAACACTAAGTGGCGTAAAAGGAGAGTAAAAGTGGAAAAACTACTTACATTCCAGAGAGTTCTTGGCATTCTGATCTTTACCCTCTTTAGCGCTCTTGACTTTCAGATTCTGAAGGTGAAATGATATAGAAGTACATAAATACACAAGGAGGCAAAGATATCAGGCCTTGTTTTGCCAGTATAATGTAAGTGACCTTAGAACTAACCTCTGAAATCTCTGCAAACTGAGAATTGGCTTGACAACACTTTTCGGCCGTTTCCACGGCAACCTTATAGTTGTCCACAAAAGCCCTGTACACGCCGAGCTGGCTGGCCTGTGTGGGAAGATAAAACGACAGGAGAGAGTGAGAGTGAGAGAGAAGGTGGTTTAAAGATAAAAGTCAGTGCTATAGGCGAATTACTCATGCATGTTACTTCAGCTTAATTTTGCTTACTAAGGTAGAGCAGACAGTTTTTCGTGGCCTGTTTTGGCATGGTTGACATGCTTCTGATAATCAAACACAAGCGAATACCAGTCTGACTGCTTAAAGACAACAGCACTCAACACAGACCAATTATCACAATGACGTAATGGGTCAACCTTAAAGGAATAGTTCACCCAAAAAATTATATTTGTTGAAAATTCACTCACCCTCAGGCCATCCAAGATATAGATGAGTTTCATCGAAACAGATTCACATCACTTGCTCACCAATGGATCCTCTGCAGTGTGAAGAATGAGAGTCCAAACAGCTGATGAAAACAAAACTCCACAACACCACTCCAGTCCATCAATTAACGTCTTGTGAAATAAAAAGCTGTGTGTTTGTAAGAAACAAATCCATAATTAAGGAGTTACAACTTATAGCCATTGTATCCATCCCCTTTCACTTATGCTTGATCTGTGCATATTTCTCTCCTGATTCAGATGAGATGACTTTTTCCACTGTAGAAAGCGATATAATGGAGAGAGGACTCATTTTAAGTTAAAAACGTCTTTGTGATGGATTTGTTTTATTTATTACAAACTTTTAATTTCACAAGATGTTAACTGATATATACTGGAGTCGTGTGGATTACTTGTGGATTATTGTGATGCTTTTATCCACTGTTTGAACTTTGCAGAGGGTCCACTGCTGACCAAGTGATGTAAAGCTGAATTTTCCCAAACCTGTTCAGATGAAGAAACAAACTCATCTACATCTTGGATGGCATAAGGGCGAGTACATTTTCATAAAATGTTAATTTTTGGGTGAACTATTCTGAAAGTGAAAAAAGTGACGTGACATGTGACCAAGTATGGTGATCCATACTCGGAATTTGTGCTCTGCATTTATCCCATCCAAAGTGCATACACACACAGCAGTGAACACACACACACACACAGTGAACACACACACAGCAGTGGGCAGCCATTTTTGCTGCGGCGCCCGGGGAGCAGTTGGGGGTTCGGTGCCTTGCTCATGGGCACCTCAGTCATGGTATTGAAGGTGGGAGAAAGCGCTGTACATTCACTCCCCCCACCTACAATCCCTGCCGGTACGAGACTTGAACCCGCAACCTTTGGATTACGAGTCCGACTCTCTAACCATTAGGCCACGACTTCCCCTTTAAAGTATCAAAATCCTTCATAAACATATTAATTATTACAGTACATGCTTGAACCTATTATAACCTAAGCAAATAGTGAAATTATAATCACCTATTTTAATATTTATTGTGTATTATAAATTCTTCAAAAATTACAACCATCCCACAGCTGTGGCATCAGTTCCACAACATCAAACTAATAAGTTTTTTTATGTAGTTTGTGTGTGTTCCATGTGATATCTGAAGAAAATGCCAGGTAAACTCCCTACAATTATCACAATGCTGGAGAGATTGTGGAAAGGTGGGGGACTATGCTCATATATTTTGGGAATGTCCTAAAATACAAGTGTATTGGCAGGGGGTTAAAAGGGAAATAAGTAAAATTTTAGGATGTGACATACCAATGCACCCAGTATTTTTTCTGCTTGATGGTTTCCCCCCAGATCAGTTAAGTAAATCCCAACTATTTGTATTACATATATTATTAACATGCAAAAAAATAAGAAATCAGGAAGGGCGCCAACACTTTTTCACACCACTGTATATATATATATATATATTTGTTTGTAAAAATGCACAGTTTTATAAATATCTGAAAGTACACTCTTAACATCACTCAGTCAAGCATTGTAATATGATAATCAATATTATTTAATGATAGAACTTTTGTAATTAGAATTAAAACTTGATAACCATGTATGAATGCATATTAGTAATTTTAACTGAACTTCGGACTGGTGGTGGTGCTTTTTTTGGTCATTCAGTGTTTCTGTAAAAACAAAATTAAAATTGGGGGAAAACTAACAAAAATACTGATTAGATAATAATGATACGAATTCTACTAATAAGAACAATATAAAACGCACCAAGGATTAATGAGCTACTGGATTCATGAATATTAATCAGGTTGTGTGCGTTCGCTCGAACTGATTTGCTGAAATCAAAACAGGGACGATAATAGGTGAGCGCCAGCCAATGAGATTGCCGTTTGCGCATTAGTTCCGCCCACTAATTTAAAAAAAGCGGTAGTTCTTAAAAGCAGAACAATTCCAAACGAACTCCGTTAATTTGACAGTAAAATACAACAAAGAATATCGTTTACATGTAGCGCGTCAATTCTCTCTCTCCCTCTCTTGCTGCGTGTGTGTGAAACAAAGTGACGGCGAGTCGTGTGCCTTCACACTAGAGTTTACGGTACGTTAAATACAGGTGCGTTGCAAATCCATTCAGATGAACTGAAAAACAGCACAGATCGCTTGGCGGAGAGTGAAACTCTGAAGGGCTCAGTCAGAGTGTTTGGCGAGTGAAAATATATCTGTGCTAAACTTATACTTAGCCTCCAACTCACACACTGGCGAGTAAAATCTGAGAATTTATTAACAATTAGCTAATATTAAACATCATTTAATCACCAGAGTGAAGATTTAGTCTCATATGCGAGTGATTTACTGGCAATGTAGAGGGTTGCCCAACCTTTCTTTAGTCGCGGCACCCTTTGGAAATTTTAACAAATTTGTGGCACCCTACAAAATTAATTGTCGTCACAATATTTGAATTTCTAACTTCGATGTGATAATTTGAAAGGTATAGATATTCAGTACAACAGGGAAGAACTGCAGAATATAATGTCATACAGATATTTTTAATATTATA